AGTAAAACAATTCTTTTCCAAATCCAAACATTTCTCAAAACGTTGTAACCCCTCTCCGTAAAACCTGTATACTTTCTCAGAAATGTAAAATATAAATATACATATATATTCTCAAAACTTCATTTTTACTATCTCAACATTATCTCTTTATCAATCATGCCATGCCATGTCATCTCAACATTTCTCATATATTAATTATGCCATGCCACATCATCTCAACAGTAATAAGGTATGAATGCATCAACATAATCATATCAGGTGCAAGAAAGTAATCAACCGTAGGCCCTCTAATAGCCCTATACGGTTGAACCTAGAGCTCAAAATCTATCATTATCACTCTACCGGAGTCACCTCTGTGACCCGTCCGGCCTTCTGCACACAAGTTACGCTCTAGTGCTTCTCATAAATCAGCTGTGCACATAATCTAAGGTCACCCACCAGTCGGAATCTCACTAACACTCTCGCGACTGGTCTGTCGTACCCACTCCGCGTGGACTGTACGACTAGCATCTACTTGGATCCAAGGCGAGCGTGCGATGCGGTGAATACTATAAGCACTAAACCATGGTGCAGGATTTGAGCTCGATATATATCATCATCATCATAACAGTAATTAAATACTCATCTGTGCGTCCACCGCACCATTTCATACATATGCATCATAAATCAATTCTTACCTGTGCGTCCACCGCACCAATTCATACATATGCATCATAAATCAATTCTTACCTGTGCGTCCACCGCACCAATTCATACATATGCATCATATATTAATTCATGCATGGCATTTCAACTCACATTTCTATATACTTTTCATATCAATTCTATGCATGGTATTTCACTTCCCGTTTTTCCACATAACTCATATGCATTCCATTTTAAACATAATTTCATGCATTTTCAATTTCTGGGAAAACGTTAAGTATATATATATATACGGAAAACAAAACTGCCCACTCACCTGGAGTTCATCCAACAACTCCCTAGCACCACACATCAAGGCGTCACGACGATCGCCGCCTAGAATAGTAATCAAATCCAACCTCAGAATTCATATCGATAGAATATTTAACTTATATAAAATACGTCACTACGTAGTTCGATCCGGAAGATCTGCCACTCAGATTTTAAATCCATAACTTCCAGAGGTCCACATTATACCTCTAGGACAACATCCTAAAATTTCATTACCATCCAACGGTTGGATTTCCGTCAATTTCCAAAACTAAGTGACGGTTAACATTTTATATTATGGACTTACAATTCCAATTCCGGAAGATCCGTAACTCGGATTCCCAATCCGTAAGTTCCAATAATCCTCAAATATTACGTACTATAACGTATCAAAGTTTGGTGATGATCCAACGGTCGGATCATCAATTCACATTTTCACCTAAATGTGAAAACTATAAAACGTTATTTGAACACCTAACCAACAATCTTCAATAACTTTCTCATACGGTGTTCAATTTAGGTATATGAATATAACCACAGTGATCTACTCGACGTCACGGACGTCGACATATTTTTAAAATAATTTTATTTTTATTTTTTATTTTTACTGTAGCACCTTCTTCTTCCTTGGGTCGCCGGACTGGTTTTTCCGGCGGCCGTTTTCCGGGCAGTTTTTCAAATTGCCATAACTTTGTCATTTCTCAACGAAATCAAGTGATTCAAAAACTAAAGTTGTAGCCCTTGAAGATACAAAGAGAATGGTACCTTGCACAACACCTAGTTCGCCGTGGTTTGGCCGGAAACTGCCTCGAAAGCCTCGGAGGTCGCCGGAAACTGGGTATTTTTCAAATGAGTATAACTTCTTCAATACTCAACGAAATTGAGTGAAATAAAAAGGAAAGTTGTAGTACTTGACGAGACGAAGAGATTGATACCTACCTCGACTCCTAACTCGCCGGGGATTTGCCGGAAAAAGCCTCGAAAGCTCCGGCCAAACTTTGAACTTGTCGATCTCCGTGTTCTTACGTCCAGAAACTTCCAACGAAGCACTCCGAGCTTCCTTGGGACCTCACTAAGCTCACTATGAGCTTGGATTGTCCTAAAAATCAACCAATTCAAAGCTCATGAACAGTACACTTTCATGGGGAGTTTAGAATCTAGGTTTTCCGAAGTAAAACTTACCTGAAATGGATACCAACGTGATCGTGAAGTCCTCAGGATTCCAATGGTGGTCTCAAACTTGACGTTGGTATAGATTTAGGGTGGTTTTGGTGGTGGTCCGTGTGAGTTCGAAGGAGAGAGACAGAGAGAGTGAGAAATCGTGAAGGAGGAGAGAGAAAGACAGTGAACGGGAAATGAGGAGGGTTTTGAGGGATGTGGGGATCCCACGTGGTCCTTATTCCAATCTCCAAACACCAAACTTTAACATTTTAACCTAAAAATCTAAGTTCCATCCTTATTAAATTCCATTTTATTTTCAAACTTAGGAACCTAGATAATTAGCAACCTGTGCTTCACAAATTTAGTATTTCTTAAGGGCAATTTCGTCCATTCACAGCCACGAATATAATAATTTGGAACGGGCTGTGACATAAGCCGTAAAAGAAAATTTGGCAAAAATATAATATCATGCTTATTTTAAAAGCAATAGTCTCCAAACAGTAGTTTTTAAAGGCAACAATTGTTTTAATAGAAAGCAAAGTTAAGCTTTTAATAAATATTTTCAATTGTTGTATATCTTCATTAATTTTTTTTAAATGACATATTTTCCTTGCACACACATTTTATCCCTTAGAGAATAAAGTGACCACTATGGCCTACCATTACAACCATTAACCTTACGCCATCAAAGTCATTACCATCACCACAACCATAACCGCAACCGCCACCACTACCGCCATCGCTACCACCGCCCCTAGCACCATTGTTACCTATACACCCCAACCACCACATTCCACTACTAGCACCACCACCATACCTAAATGCATGTGAAATCAGATAAGAAAAACCTAAAAAAATACAATCCAGTCAAGAAGTTGTTCATTATCCATAACCCAATTTTCCACCCCACTAGAGTGTTCATGGCTAATCGACACTTGTCTCTCACGATACAACCACCACCTTATTACGATAATAACACTCCAAATCATGAGGCTTAAGCGAACCACAAGCATTAGCGGAGGGAAGGTGGGGTCAATGGGTGACTGTGACCCCAACGAGATGGTTTTTTTTTTCTTCCCATTGAATTTCAGTGCTGACCCCAAAAATATGTTCATGAAAAGAAAGGCAAACACCTATGCAGAATATATCTCTTTTGCAAATAATTTAGGGTTCTACATTAGATGCACTACTAGGACCAACATAGATGTGAATTAACATAGAGCATTTGATATGTACCAATATGTGTTTGGATGTTGTTTTTAAATGATTGAAAATACTTCGAAGAAATTATGGAACCAAATATTAATAAAAATGCAAGTGAATCATAAAAAAACATTTTGAAGTACTCCTACAAAAAGCACATTAACGAGCTTCTTCCAAAATGCACTTGTAGTGCTTTTGGAATCCAAAACACTTTCACCAAAAGCAATTTCAAACATGACTAGCAAATATATGTCTCCAGTGTTTTTTAATGTGTCAAACATATTTGGGAGCCCTAAAATATTTAATATGATTGGTTTGCTTTAATTTATTTTGAGAAAACTAAATTTTAGATACAATGCATATCTTTCAAAGGAATCATATGGCTTACAGAATATAAGCTTTTGTAAGGAAAATTATAAGTGGAAGGTAACCAATTTTCAGAGCTATTTTGTTGTGAATAATGCTTGGCTGCTTAAAAATGAGTAGGAATTCTTACTCAAAACTCCTCATGTTCGAATTACAGAGGTTTGTGCTTATAATCATAATCGTTCATATTATAAATCACTTTGTAACGATCATCTATGCAAAAAATGAATTAAAACTAAAGTCGATTTGTCAATTTATTGTAGCAAATACATAGACAATTCGTAATGCTTTTACTAATTTTGTTCATCTGTTTCTATATATAGTTCGGTGACTAAACGACCTTAGTTTTAATTGATTTTTGCACAAACGATCTTTATATAATGGTTTTATAATATAAACGGTTATGTTCATAAACACTAAGTTCTATGCATCGGCAACGAGCTGTTTGAGTAGGAACTCCTACTCATTATTTGAGTAGCCAAGTATTATTCTTTTGTTGTGCCCCCCATTAGGATAAATTTTTGGCTCCACCACTGATCATAAGTATGCTAAACTCTCTCAAAAACTCAATTTATGTATGACAAAACTCACGTGAACTTATATGACTGAATGTAATTGACTCATGACTCAATGAGATAAGATCTTTATCCAGGTGTGGAAATGACTCTTCATAATATATAGTTGTGTCTTAAAGAGTCAACGCTTGCATCTCTATTCATATTAAGACAAATGTTGCACAATTTCTCCTCAAACAATCAAATCTAGAGAGAGGGAGAAAGCTTAGTGAAGAAGAAAGTGTTTCTTTGTATTTGCTTCAATTCAATCGTATCTTATAAATGATCTCAATTCTTACACTTACACTCTGTAACTATCTTGCTTACACAATAAGCTACTATAGCTAATATAATCGACTTTAGCTAAAACAAATGCTGACATGTCATCCTTATCTCTAACCAATCCTATCAGCTATAACATGGCACATGCCATATAATCCAACATCAAAACCTAATTCATGAATCATAACAACCCATCAATGTATTTAAATGATTTAACTCGTTTTGATTAAATTTTCCAACAGTATTAAAGAGATGGTCTATTGTTCTAAAAGCTAAAATGGATTTTCTTTTCTTTGTCAAACGATAGATTTTGCTAGATTAGCCACCGACAGATATTTGACTACTCATATACTGTGCCAATTACACTAAAATCCTTAATTGTTTCAGTTAACGAAAGATGCATGCTTTCCTTCGTAGGTTCCTACTGATGACATCCTTACATCACATTCCATAAAATATAGAGAGACCATATCCTAGGTTCTACTCATGGCTGGATGCTGCTTCCTTCATATCAAGCAATGCCTCTTCAAAGCATTTTGCGAGAAATGTTGTATCCGGAAAGATATCTTTGGCCACCAAAATTTGCAAGTTAGCTCTTTCAGCATAGCTCACCATGTGCATTATAAGTGCCTGCGTTACCAACCAGCAAAAGTATTCCAGTTACATTACAGATACTTCTGATTTGCTACATCTGGCATTTTCTAGAATGTAACATAACACCCCTTCACAACGTCAAAGATCGATCGCGTACCCCTACTAATTGGTTAGCGTCATATATATACCTGGGGTAGGCTACATGTATTCACTTTAAGGTAAGTTACAAGGTTTCCCCCAATTGCAATTGCTTCTTGCGGGCCAAGTATATTTGAAATGGTAAAGCTAGTATATTGCAGACCATCTTGTAAAGAAGCCAACTAGCAACCTGCAGTAGAAGGAAACTGTTTTCTTTTTATATACATTTTTTAATATTTGAGGCACATTTAGGAATGATTTTGTAGGAAACACTGTTACTCATAACCATTTTTTGTCGAAGCGTTTATGTTAGAAGCATAACAGATTTTTCTTAAAAGTACATGTTGATTACCTATCAAGAACCAACTTAGCTCTCTTGAGGTACACTAGAGGATCAAGATCACTACTTTTATGGTAATATATAGGTAGGAGAAACATGCCGAACTTGTTACCCCAGCTTGATTCAGAGTTGCTTTCCAACAAATTGGATACCTGATCATATTCGTACAATCATTATCTCCAACCAACTACCATCAAATTGGATACATGGTTAGATTCGTGGGATGATAAGTAAAAAAAGTTGAGGTTTCATCATAAAACAAATTAGTAATATGGGGAGTAGCCCAATTATTTATGAGCACATGTAAGTCTCTCTTTTCATCAATGTAGGATTCATTCTCAACATGCCCCCTTCACGTGTGGCGAATTTTCAAGCCTTGCACGTGGACAACACAACGGGGTGATGTGGAGCGCGTGTGGCTATTAAGCTTCACATATGAGACAACCTGCTTTGATACCATGAAGAAAGTTGAGGTTCCACCATAAAACCAACTTATTTATAAGCCCATGCAAGGTCCCTCGTGGTCCCTCGTTCCATCAACGTGGGACTCATTCTCAACACGCCCTTTCACGTGTGGTGAATTTTGTTGGATATATGTCAACAATCTGTGATAAACTTATATATGCTAATAAATAATAAATACTAATAAATATTGAACAGAGTATGAACAACGAAATAATTTTAAACAGAAAATTGAAGATCGAGGCTTACGTACCGCAATGTCTTTGAAACAGAAATTTCGTCCCTACTCAATGCTTGTAGTTCTATGGACGTCTGCTTTACCAGGATTCAACGATCAAGTTAGAATTCTAGTACTGGAAAACTTAACTTCTGGTGAACTTCTGTGTGGTTCTCTCAGAAAGGATGTTTGTGATTGTAGAAGAAGAATATTGATTTTCTGTATCCTAAATACCATGCAAATGGATGTATATATAATAGAAGGATGTCTGTTCGCAACAGGTATGAGAATGAGATGTGTTTGTTGGGAGACATCTTCTCCAGAGGGGTGCTTTGCTCTGTGTTATTTCTGAACTCTTCAGACTTCATCTGAAAGGATAAGTCTGTTGGTAAAAAATAAATAATTAATTAAATTTGAAATTACTGAAAAAATAATTAATTAAATCCGAAAATAATTAATTAAATAATTTAATTATTAGAGCCCGAGCCCAAGGCCCATCTTTTGATAATTAATTAGTTCACCCCAAAGCCCAACCCCAAGTGTGAGCCCAATTTTATTCTCCAGGCCTATTACTCCAATCACTTTCTATAAAGGACAAAGCCTTATAAAGTGATAAAATCTTTTGGGAATGGCCAATGTGGGACAAAGAATTTCTACTCAAACTACTTAAATTTCCAACAAATTTTTAAGCCTAACACGTGGACACACACGTTGGGCTTCACACGTGGGATAACCTGCTCTGATATGATGAAGAAGGTTGAAGTTCCACCATAAAACCAATTGGCAATATGGGAGTAGCCCAACAACTTATAAGCACAAGCAATGTCCCTCCTCTCATCAATGTGGGATTCATTCTCAACAATTAGGGTGCTTATCTAGGTTTTTGGGGTTGGGTTGAAAAACATGACAAATTAAGGGCTTATTTGATTGGCTTTAAGTTTTAGTTTTCATTTTGTGCTAGAGATCATAAGGGGCAAGTATATGTGAGATTATGAGAGATAAAAAAAAGTGACAAACCCCTCTTAACTAGGGGGGAATTCAAAACCATGTTCGTACTTGCAATATGATTTGATTACATCCAGTTGTGATTCATAAGTTGTGAATTCTATTTACTTGTCCGTTTGAAGTAAAACTGATTTGTGTGTGTTGGTTGAGAGTGCACGCTTAATTTTCATGCATAAATCTGATGCTAGGATATAAGGGAGTTTCACCTAATCATTATGAACTTATATTCATAAGTAGTGAAGGTTGCTTGTCACAATCGCGTTAAGTAAATTCTTGGCATAAGTTTCATGCAATTCATAGTTACAAATGCCTTGTCAAGCTTATGATTTTCATAGAACTTAATGATCTTTGCTCGTATCTTTATTATGCAATTCATGTAGGGAACTTGTGAAGAATGCTTTGGGTTGTTGTATGCAATCATCCAATTCAATGAAATTAGGAAAATATGAGGGTTAATTAGTGCAATTTACAGTTAATCTGGGGCGTTGAGGATTCATGGGTATTGAAAAGCAACTGGAAATCATTTTGTTTGCAAGTGTGTCAAGGGTGGAGAAGAACCTCTTAGCTAGCCTATCATCCATAGTTTTACCCCAAATTCATCTAAATTTTGCTTAGTTTACAATCTGTTTGTTTTGTTTTCAAATTCACCAAAACCAAACCCTCCATTTACTTTAGAGTGTCTAATTAGTTAGAATCTGTTTAGTTTGTGTTTTTAAGTGTTTTGAATCAATATAAAACCAAAATTCGTTCAAAAAGTGTGTTAGAGTCAGAAACTGCCTAATTATTGTTTTTAGGTAGTTTTGAGCGTTTTTAGCTTGTTTTGAGTCTTTTGAGTTTGATTTGAGTTCTTTGAGTCTAGTTAAGTGTTTTTAGCCTCTTTTTATATATTTGAGTCATTTTAGAGCGTTTTAGCAATCCCTCATAATCCCCGGTTTAAGAACGATCCCTACTTATTCATACTACAATTGTCAACAAGAGGATTTAATTTGTGTGCTAAGTTAATTTTTGCATCAGTAGGCCTTTTGAAAATATATACCAAAACTCAGTTATGCATCAGTAAGTTAGGATTTGTTGAGGTTTGGTTTCAATATTTGTTGTATATTTCATTATGAAGATTACAAGAGAGTGAAGGCAACTCTTATAGAGAGCCAAAAGAAAGCTACAATAGATTGTAGGATAACTACACAAACACAATCCCTAAAATCTGCCCTAACAAGTGGAAAAGCAAAAACCAAATTACAAGTAAAGAAGCTTTTACAAGCAACTAAGAAAGGTTGATGTAAGGTGAATGACAAGCTATGGAAAGTGATTGGTGAATGACAAGCTATGGAGAAAGGTTGAAAGGTTGATGTAAGGTGAATGACAAGCTATAAGGTGAATGACAAGCTATGGAAAATGATTGGTGAATGACAAGCTATGGAGAAAGGTTGATGTAAGGTGAATGACAAGCTATGGTGAGGATGACAACTCATACATATAACCCATCCATACTTTCAATAGGATTCACCTGCAAAATTAGAAAGAAAAAAATATAGCAAGAACCGTATAAAAGTTCTTAAAACAACCAACATATATAATATAAATGAAAGTTTATAAATCACGATGAACCTGCAATCCAGGTTGCTTTCTTAAATTGACCATAGGTAGGCCTGTAATTCGAATTCCGTCATGCAAAGCTTGACAATTAAGTTTAGCTATAACTTGGTTATCATGATTGCTGATAACTTTGAGAAATATGGCTATGAGGAAATGAATAAGGAGAGCAAAAGCTTAGAGAAAAAGGAGTTTCAGAATTCTTTGTATTACACTATGAGAATATTACAAGTCTTTACAATGTGTTATATAGCCTCTCAGCATACATGGACTATTACAATACTACCCCTTTGTAACTAACTTTCTAACGATACTAACTACTTGAGTGATGGTAGTTATATCCAATCGACAAATGACAATGGCTAATACTCCCCCCTCAAACTGCGCTAGGGTTCATCTAGCAAAGTTTGAAGCTACAAAACACAACCTTGTAGTGCTATTGTACAAGTGAATTAACTCTGAACTGTAGTACTGAAGATCGCAGATTGTGATCCTAAGCTCAAGTTGTGACAATGCTTCACAGAAACAGGACTATGTAATCCTTTAGTTAGGACATCAGCAACTTGCTCTTTTGTGGGAATGTATTGAACACGCAGATCATATTTTTGTACTTTCTCCCTCACAAAGTGATAGTCAGTGTTTAGATGTTTGATCTTAGAGTGAAAAATAGGATTTGAACATATAGCAAGTGCTGACAAGTTGTCATAGTAAAGATAAGGAGGTAAGGGAAGACATTGATGCATATCTTCGAGCACTGATCTAATCCAACAAACATCAGCTGCATAATGAGCTATTGTCTTATATTCTGCCTTTGTCGAGCTTATCAAGACTGTGGATTGCTTTTTGGACTGCCATGAGATAGGATTAGAGCCTAAGTACACCACATATCCAGTTATTGATCTCCTAGTATTGATATCTGCTGCCTAATCTAAATCTGAATAGGCAGTTATAGATATATCTTCACCCTTTGTATATTTCAAACCACAAGTGAGAGTACCTTGTAAATACCTCATAATTCTCTTGACCAAATGAAAGTGTGAATCTGTTGGACTGTTCATAAACTGACACACCATACTCACTGAGTATGCCATATTAGGTCTAGAGAAGGTTAAGTACTGTAAAGCTCCCACCAAGCTTCGATAGAGAGTAAGATCTGTCATTGGTATGCCTTCAGATTCAAGCAATTGAGTATGAGGTTTAAAGGGTGTAGATGTAGGTTTACAATGTTCCATACCAGCCTTTTTCAACAAATCTTGTGCATATTTAGACTGGTTAATGAATATAGACCCATCTTGATTATACTGGATATGAAGACCAAGAAAATAGGTAAGTTTTCCTATATCTTTAAGATCAAATACTGCAGCAAGGCTTGTAATCACTGATTGAATCTTTGAAGCATTGGAACCGATCACAATTATGTCATCAACATATAATAAGAGTAATAACATCCCCATGATCTTCTTTTACAAACAAACTTGTATCGGATAAGGATGTAACAAACCCCAAAGTAGGTAGGTAGCTAGTAAACTTTGAATTCCAAGCTCGTGGTGCTTGTTTCAAGCCATAAAGTGACTTTATTAACCTGCAAACATAATTTGGATGTTGTGAATCAATGAACCCTTGAGCCTGCTTCATATAAACTTCCTCTTCTAACTCTCCATGTAAGAAGACATTTTTAATGTCTAGTTGCCTCAAACCCAACCAAATTGAACTGCTAAAGCAAAAATCATTCTTACAGTGGTATGTCTCACCACCAGACTAAGCGTTTCAGAATAGTCCAAACTGTTGGAAATGTGCCCTAAAGCCAATCATATGATGATACTTTACGGACATTTTACATGTTAAACTAATCTAGTTTAACTATAAAGGGCAAAGATTATTGTTTGAGCCGTCTCATATAAATGTTATATGCTTAAACGATAAAGTCCAAGGAATATGTGATTGGGAGAATGTGATAGGAGCATATTTATGCGCCTTAGTTAGCTAGTTCTTATGCACTTTCGTTATGTTTTCTTTGTTAAAGTAGTCTTTTAAGCTACTTTCATGTGTTTTCAGGTTTAAAGGACATATGGACATGCTTGGAACACAAGGTTGGGACGAAATTGAAGAGTTGAAGATTTGAGGTTTCCTACTTGAAGTAGGAAAGCTAAGCCTAAAAGTTTCCATTTTGGGTTGATCTTTCCTAAACCGGAATGGCCTTGCGTTTGAGCAACATTAGAAGGTTCCGAAGCGTTGGAAGACACAAAGAAAGGTGTTAGAATATTTTCTCATCCTTGCCGTGGGTTAGGGCTTAATTTCTCTTGGTTTTGGGCTTTTTAGAAGCCCTATCCACATTCCCACTAACCAGCCGCACCTTTCCCCTTCTAGAACACATATTTCCTTGCCTTGCAAGGCTTTCTAGAAGCCCTAACCCTAGCCCACTTAATTGCCGCACCCTAGGCCTTTTTCTCACCAAATTTCTGATTGTTTAACCTATTTTTCTGGTGGATTTGGGTTTCTAGAAACCCTAATCTGATTTGCTAGGGTTTTTAAGTGCCTATATATATATTTCTACACCTAGCCGCACACATTACCTCTCCACAATTCAGAAATTCATCCAACCCTATATTCCCATTCCTTGCCGCAGCCACCATCATCCTTATACCCTTAGCCGCCACTCCTCCATCCATTCCAGCCATTTCCCACACCTTGCCGCAACCCTTCTCCACAACCATACACCATTCTACACCTCCATACACCATCCATACACCTTGCCGCACCACCATACTATCCTAACTCCCTTCCAAACCCAAAATCACATCCAAAAATCCCCTAAACCCTCTCTGCCGCAGCAAGGAGAAGAAGAAAGAGGAGCTTGACGTGCAGAATTCAAAGTGGAATTGTTGGGCGTTTTAGGTGTAATCTTTCTTATGTCTTCGATGTTTCAATTCAATAAACTTTGTGTTGTGAGTATGAGGAACTAAACCCCCTTAGTTGGGGGGTAATTCGAAACCATGTACATGCTTGCAATATGATTTGATTACATTCAGTTGTTATTTCATGAGTTGTGGATTCAATTCGTTCATCTATTTGATTGATAACTTATTTGTGTATGTTGATTGAGAGTGCACGCTTAGTTTTCATACATGAATATGATGCTAGATTATGAGGGAGTTTCACCTAATAGTTACAATCTTATAATCACAAGTAGTGAAGATCGCTTGAAAACGATCGTGTTGAATGAATTCTTGGCATAAGTTTCATGCAATTCATAGTAACAAATGCTTCGTCAATGCTTATGTTTTTCATAGAACGTAATGATTCTTGCTTGTATCTCTATTATGCAATTCATGTAGGGAACTTGTAGGGAATGTTTTGGGTTGTCGTATGCAATCATCCAACTTAATAACTTGTGGAAAAACTGAGGGTTAACTAGTGCAATTCACGGTTAATTTGGGGCGTTGAGTATTCATAATTCATTGGAAGAACAACTGATAATCGTTTTGTTTGCAAGTGTGACATGTGTGGAGAAGAACCTCCTAACTAGCCTTTTATCCATCATTTTATTCAAAAACGTTCTACAATCTGTTTAGTTTAAAGTTTCTGTTTTGTTTTCAATTTTCGTCCAAAACAAATCCCCCTTTATTTTGAAGTCTTAGATTAGTTAGAAAGTGTTTTGATTTGTGTTTCTAAGTGTTTTGATTCAAGTTTTCACTCAAATTCGTCCAAGTTCTTGTTAGGTTCTCAAAACTGCCCAGAAAGTGGTTTTTTGGCAGTTTTGAGTCATTAGGTTGCTGTTTTGAGTTTTAGGTTTGTTTAAGTGTTTTAACCTTTAGTTTTGCATTCTTTGAGTCTAGTTTAGTGGTTTAAACTTTGTTTTTGAGTTTTTAAGTCAATTTCCAAGTGTTTAGCAATCCTTCCTAATCCCCGGTCTAGAACGATCCCTACTTACATCTCTACTACAATTTGACAAAAGAGGGTTTAATGTGTGCTTATCTATTTCGCATCAGAATGTAATCTAATGAAGTTAGATTCATGAGACCATTCTTTCGTAGACACATCCTAAATGTTCCTGATCATAGGATTGCCAATTGGGCATTGACAGTCCGTCAAGATCGGTACGTGCTATGTCTTCTCTCAGGGAGAGTGACTAGTCTCGAGTCATTGGTGTGTGTGACATCAAGACAAGTACGTAGGTGCTCAGTAGAGAATGAGTTCACTGAACGAGATTAACGAAGAGTTCTCATACTCATGTCACATGAGAACTCATGGTTGGGATAATGCAAAGTAGTCATTTGACCTGAGGCATCATAGTTGTCTTGTGGTTAAGTCCTTGATCTTTGATTATGTCAAAGTCACTCCATCAAGAGGGTGTCCACGGCATCGTTGGGGTTAAGCCACTTAGCCATGGAGGCAAGTGAATGCGCAACAAGGGATCTCTAACCTTCAAACTGTTTGTGGGAGAATACTCTAAGATATGATTTAGAATCTCTGGCCAGAGTTTGAATGAGATTTAGGAATGCGTTCCAAATCACATTCAAGGAAATCATATAAGCACACGAATCACATTGGATAGTAGACATGAATAAATAAACTATCAAACCAAACAATGTGGTCAAGAGTATTGTATTAGAGAAAGACCGTATTGCATTTGTAATCCCAAACTGAATAGGTTTTCTCTACCTCTTTTGATTAGCTTGGGTAACCATGATATGCTGCAAGGTGTCACTCATGGTTTGTGGAAGCCCTAAACGTGTGTAATCACTAAAGGGAGAATTGAAAGTAAGTTTCAATTCACAATCGATGTAAAATGGTTTTAATCGCCCACTGCCTCGCTAAAAGGAACCTAATGGATCGCACACCGTGTAAGGAGGAGATTGAAGAAACAATGGAGATGAGTAAGAATGATTAAATGGTTTAATCATTTATTTATGGCAAGGATTAATTAATATGTTAATTAATCAAACGAATAAGTTCGTTAAAGACCTCGGGATAGGTTTTGGACCTTAAGGCCCAATGGGCTTCGAACGTCAAGCCCATTGACTTAAGTTGTATGACAACTTAATGAATAATGATTCACTAAGACCCAAAAGCCCAAACAACACCCATGGCCGGCCATTTAGAGGAAGGGTAGTGAACTTGCTTTAATTACAAGTTTGCCACTCAAATGAATAAAGGTATAAATATGACTTTATAGCCAAAATTCATTTAGGGTTTGTTTTGGAGAAAATTGGTGAGAACTTGTCTCTCCATTTCTCTCTAAAGAGGCCGGCCACCTTGGGGGTGCATCTTGCAATCCCACTACTCCAAGGTCACTCATTTCTTCTCCAATCTCTCCTTGGTGAAGAGACTTAGAGGTTCTCAATTGTGGGAACTTGGAGAAACCTATTCTTCCATCCAAATCCATAGATTTAAGATGCAAGGAATGAAGGCCCTCTCTTTGGGTGATTAGCCTTTGCTTATGCAAAGAGGAATCTTCAAAGGTATAAATTTCAATTCACTTTGTTTTGAGTTGATTAATGGTTCACCAATCTACTAGGCTTTGAATTTCTTGGTTAATGTTTTGTTTTTAAGTGCATCCTAGCATGATTCCGCCTTTAATTGTTAATTGCATGCTATATGATGTGGCTTAAATGAACATGTTTTCACAAAATTATCCTTCAAGTGGTATCAGAGCCTAGGTCTAGTAGTTGGTGAATCCTTTTGGGTTTTGTATTTCATAGTTTGTGATTTAAAAGTTGTAATATGTTACAAGCTTTATTCTTGTTTCTTTGAATGTAAATTTTGTTAGAAAATTTGCCATCTCAAATGTTGTAGATGTAGTTCATATGAGCATGAATATTGGAGCTAAAATTTGGTGCCATGACTTTGGGGATTTTCGGCCAAATACAAAGGGTGGAATTTTGGGTTCTTGTTTGACTTGTTAAAAGTGTTTTCAAGTGACTTTTGGAACCCCTATGTACCCTAGTTTGGTTAGATGTTATTTCCCTAAAGTTTGAATGGTTTTGGAATGTTTTTGGGTGGAAAAAGTTCATGGAAAAATTTTGGGTTTTTCATGAATGTTCTTCATTGTTCTTGACATTTTTGCCAAGAACAAAAAGGTTTGTGTTTTGATTCAAAGTTTTGAATTATTTCATAAAGTTTATGTTTTATGCATTTTCAAATGTTTAAATGTTTTAGATATTTGTTTAAATGGCAATAGAAATAATGGTGGGTGTGAAAGGACTTCACCTTTGTGTCCCTATCCTTATGGTTCACTAAGTTTATTGTAAACTATATAGTGAACAATAACCACATGCTCTCCAAAATGTTTGATGTGTATAACACAATTGAAATAAGTTTCAAGAGAGATAGTGGGAGTTTAGGGACCATGACTAATGTAGTCAAAGGAGAAGTCAAATGAAGAAGATTGAATTAACTCCAAGGGAACAAACTTTCTTTATGAAAGGATGGACATTGGAAGGGGTATTTGCAAGAAATGTCTTGCAAGTGTCAAGAACACGCCTTTCGAAGGTGTTGTAAATTGTTCTTGAATAGTTCAAAACAGTTGGTTCTTCTACTTGAATGCTTGATTCCGTATTAGTAACTATGTTTTACAATCGTTGTAAAAGTGTGACTAATAAGAAGTAGAAGATATATGAGAGAAAGAAAAGGTGCTTCACATTCGGAACGTGAATCAAATGTAGATCTCTGCGAAAGCAGATGGTACTTACTTCCTCATATGAACTACCAAAGAAATTGGAAAAACATAGATTGTCTTTATATTCCAATTTTAAGGAACTAAATTCCGTCACTATGTGAAATGGATAAATGTTTTGTTTGACAAAACAATGTTCTTTATTAATCAATGATTGGATTATGGTAATCTAATTAATTATCTCTATAGTAGAGATAATATGGTAGTGTTAACTGTTTAGAAAATAATGATGCTTAAAACCCAAAAGGTTGCAAGGTAGTGACTAATCCCAACTAAAGTTGTGATACCTCTAAAACATAAATTACGAGTTGGTCATAGATGGACGCTTTGGATCGTTAGATCCGGATCCAATACCTTCTTGTTAAAATTGTATAGAGGCGAAATGTTCGAATCTTTATTCTTTTGGAAAGAAGAAAGAATCACAAAGTTGTTGAGGTTAATTCACTTAGATGTTAGTGGCACTTGTCCACAAACATAATACTACTCATGTTATATGACATTCACCGAAGATCACTCTCGGTTGGACTATAGTTTATTTTGAATAAACACAAGTTCGAATACTTTGCAAAAGGTTTCAAAGAATTCAAGAAATGTAAGTTGATGAGTAAGACATCTAAAGTATTTACATCCTTAGATTTGATCCAAGGAATGGTAACACTTTAGAATAGTTTTCTTGAAAGATATCAAGGAAAATAGCATCATAAGATAATGAATTTCTCCTTTAGGAGAAGAACGAACTCGAATCAGATTTAGTTCGTTAGATGTTATCTATTACCCATATATAGGATATATACTTCTAAAACAATATGATTGTAAATTAGAAGATCTTCCAATATTTTCATGACTCCATAAGATGTAGTTGGAAAGAAAGACAAAATCTTAAAACATGTTAAGATTTGGGGTTGTGTGCTTATAAGCAATATTTGTTTGATAACAATCTTGTAGGATATCCTTAAATTAACTTTTGGATATCGCTTCTATAAACCAACTAATAAATGTTGT